AAAAACCACTGCCTCAGCAGGAACCAGGAACGGCCGCAGTAGCTTCCTGCATTGTAGCATTGCTGGAGCAGCATCTGCCGGAGTATCTCCAAAAGACACCTGTGTTTTGCTTCCATGTTAGTGAGTCTTAGGGGTAGGGGGACGACTGAACTGTTTGAACACCAAAAAACAAGTACTCACAAAAGAACACCATTGTTTCAGCAGGCACTAGGAACTGCGGGCAGTGCAGAGTGAGCTGCTGGAGGAGGTGCTTTCTGCACTAAAGGCAATGTCTGAAGCAGCATCTGCGGAAGGTGCAGAGCTGGTCCTAAGAGCTTGGTCTGTTTGCATGAGGAGGAAGTCTTTTAAAGCACTGATCGCTGTGGGTTCACTGTACTTCACCAGCTTTTCAGATGAAGGATCACATGTTGGAACGAGAGGGGGGCATGTTTCATTTTGGTCGAAGAGATCCCTCCATTGATGAATATTGCCAGGACCATTCTGTGTTTTCTTGCAGACTTTAATCACCCCCACCCCTTTTTGGTATACTGGTATACCTGGTAAGACAGGACAAGACCACAAACAGGCCTGGTTTCTGGAAGTTCCTGATAGCCTTTTCCTCAAACAGATCTTCACAAATGCACGAAAGAAGGCCAGGGACCCTCCCCAAAAAGGTGGGGTCAGCGAAGCAAACGGCCCGAGTTAGGTGCAAAACGTGCCCTTTCCCAACGAACGCACCGGACCGAGCTTCGCCCCGCCGCGCCCGCTTCGTTCGCCCCACTGCGCCCGCTTCGCCCCAGGATGAGATCCTGGTGACCAGCACCGACATTGACTTGGCCGGTCGTTCTGCCGCCCTGATCCACCAGCCTCCTGGCGGATTCGGGAGCCATCGACTGGTTTGGGCAGTCAGGGCAAGTCAGCGTTGGGTTTTCGATTTTGACCACCGACTCTCTCTGAGAGTTTGGTTGGCGCAACATTCTCCTGAGTCTAGTCTTAAGACCGCACCCTCTGCTCACCACTAGAAAGGCTTTTCCTTTCTCCGCCTTCTGTTTTGGGCCCTTGACTGGACAGATTTGTCACCACAGGGAGAAGAGGATGATCTTCACATCTCCCGGTGGCCTCCCCTCATGCGACCGGTTTTTGGGGAGTGACTTCGGAGTTGCGAGCCTTAGACGTCTTTTCTGTAGACTCTTGATCAGAAAACCCATTGACCCCCTCCTCGTAAGAGATGGATTGTAGAAATATCATCAAGAGTCTACAAATTTAAAATTCTCGACCCACAGTTTGAGAATGGGTTGATGTGATGTGGATCCTCCACGTTCACTGGTTTAGATTGCATCCTCAAGTCAGTCAGCTATGCCCAACGCCCCCATGAGGGGTGCCCCTTTTCCCATGTATTGAGCATCCAAAGGAAATCCCTTGGCATGCCTGAATGTCTCAAAGACATTTCGATCAGTGCACAACAGCGTCTTCGCGCTCCTCATGCGATCGTGCCAATGATCGCCGCCTGTTTTTGGAGTTTCCCGAGGTCGTGCTTGTGCAAGAAGAAGGATATCCGAAAGTTCTTGGACGGTATCTACGTGAGCTCGCACGGAGTCAAGGAGGACCGCTAGCTACGCTGCTTCCCAGCTGGGCGGCCGGTTTTGAGCCAAACAGCAAGTGCCAGTTTTTGTAACAGGTGCACCCTTTCAGCACTTGGCAACGTGCACTTTTTGAAAGATACATTGTATATATAGTAATTGGTTGTTTTGTCCTTTATTCTCTTCCCCATCTGAAGCTATTATTCCGCATTACGCTTCTGTCGGGTCCATTTTGCAGTGTCGCTGCACTTCGTTCCCAACTGATCCGCCGAGTTCACGAGCAGAACGAACTGATGGCCATGTAAGGTGTGAGAGACATTAGGGTGGACCTCTTCCTGTAGCGGTTCACCAGAGTTTAGCTGATGCAAGATGCGTCAAGATGCCTGTTCAGCAAAGGTATCATCTGTTCAAAGAGGGGCTATCCGGCTGTGCCAGTCTGCAGCAGGGTTAATACACAGCCCTTTGGACTCATGGGGCTGTGCCCTTGTTTGGCTGGCTGAGTTGTCCATTGGAGGGGTTGGGTGCCGAGGCACCTCGAGGGACCGGGCTGCTTCGAAGCTGAGCCGAAGCTCCACGGTGGTCAACAAAGCTGATGAGTGCATGCAACTGAAAGCTGATGAAAGCTGGACAGTTGCCAGAGATCTAGGTATCCAATATCATCCATTATCACACCAAAGGACCAGCTGGACAAGTGATGACAAGTGATGCCAGCAGCGGATCGCAGGGATTTGTCATGTCCTGAGTTGGCTGAGCTGGTCATGGTTAGCATCAGAAAGCTCACAGCATCACCAGAGGTCAAAGCTCACATCACAAGGACACAACGAGGACTGTCCAGCTCTGTCCTTGACCCAAAAAAAAAGAAGAACAAAACAAATGAAGACACGCTGCAAGGACAGGTCGGTCCAAACCCTCTGGACTCAGACCTTGCTGGGAGTCATTGGCCCATCGGCCGCATCGGTTTCTCCCAGCATCATCGCAGAAGGACGATGCCCTTGCGACGGCCGACGGCGCCCGGGGAAACGACTGGGCGAGGTTCCGGGCTTCGCTCCAGTGGATGGAGCGACCTCGTCCAGACTGTTTGGCGGGTGGTTTTTGAGATGGAAGCGCATGGTTGGATGGATGATGTTGAAGAGATAAGTGAAGTTCTCCAGGAACATTACTGTAACATTTCCTACAAAATCCAAGCCAGGCGCGTTCAGGTGGTTCGCTTTTGAGAAGGACCCACATTCTGCACCATTCTGAGTGTTAGCTCAGGTCGCACTGCACAAACCGCCATGCTAACACAAGCCAGCGCAGTGCGACCTGAGCTAGCACTCAGAACAGGAAGAAGCAGCTAGACCAGCGGCATGACAGAATTGGCTGTGGCTCATGGCACCAGACCTTGGTTGACCTATCTGGAAGGTCCTTCGCAACATGGTGGACTGGTCGGGCTATGTCGGTCTCTCTCTCTCTGTGGGTCACCACGGTCCCCCCATCTCCCCAAGTGACCCACCCCTCGTCTCGGCGTCACGTCGTCCCGCGGGGTCTCACTCCCCGGCACTCCACTCCCGCAAACCCGGGCGTGCGGTGAAAGAACCCACGTTGGTGGTGTGGAATGGGTTCTCCCGCCAGTCAAGCTGCGAGCAAGAGGTTCTGGAAAGCCATTTTTGCGACGTGGGCGGCAGGTTCAATGGGAATGATGATATTTGGAGACGGAGAAGGTTCCATTGAACTAGGTGGTAACATGATGTAAATGTTGAACCTGAATCAGTTCGTTGAAACCTTTTTTTTGTCTGACTGGTCGATCTTCCGCTGCAGGACTGAGCGCCCGTAGAATGTGGAGCTTTCGCGCGAAGAAGAGTGAAGAAAGAGTGTCACCGTTGCAATCGATTGATTCGGAAAGCCATACAAGTACAACCGTGGGTGCAGGCCAAAACCTGTTGGGCAATAGTTCAGTTTTTTGCGGGCTACATTGGTGAGCTACAGTGGGCACGGGCTTTGGACCCAGAACAGCCACTGGTTTTCCAGAGTTTTGGCTGTTTGCAAAGCTTTGCAAAGCTGATGTTTCATCCATAGGTTTCAACATATCAGTATTTGCACCACCTAGCCAGGAGAGAAATAGATCAATCATGAGAGATGAAGTATTAGGATCTCCTCCAGTCGTTGGCATGATGAACACGTGTCATTCCTGGCCCCAGCGATGCCAAAGGAATATCTGATACCATTTTCCATTCTGCGAAATGCCACCCTGGGTGACTTCTGGCTCCTCCTTTGCAGCGCTGCAGCGCCCGGCGATCGCTCCCGGCGATCCTAGCGGGCGAGAAACGCCGAACGGAACAGAAGCATTTCACAGGGGACTCACAGAGGACTTTAGTGGCATCAGTCAAATCAATCATGCCGCGGTGATGAGTGGTTCCAATTGATGATTTCTGTATTGAGTTACTTCAGAGGACCCTAGATATTCTATCTAAACCTGCCCTTGGCATGACATCATCTCCCTTCTTTGGAATTCCAAGCTGTTTGCACCAGATGTCCTCGATGAACGCCAAGCTTGCACCAATTCCCCGTGCTTGGACGTCAAATCCATCCACGTAGCAGCCAGTCGCAGTCATTCCCAACACGATGTAGAAAAAGAAGAAACGCATCAGACATGCACATTGGACATCCAGCACAATAGCACGTCATTCGTCTGCCTGTGGTGTATCCACACATTAAATCCGGTATGTTGAGGTAACTCAGCCATGTCAGCTGCCCTTTCTGTCGATGACCCAGCGCAGCATGCCACCGCTGGCAAAGAAGCTGCGGTGGTCTATGTATCTTGCAATGGTAGAAACATTGAAGGGGCTATCTAATACTGAGCAGACAACCTTCAACCTCTTTGTGGCTTGGTTTCCCCCCCAAAATCCAACAGGTGAAAATGTCCAGGGAAACCGCATCTTCAATAAACAGGTCCTCATGCAGCACTCGTCCAGAATAGATGGGGCTTTGGAACCCCCTGCTGGGGTTTAGGTTTAGGCCATAAGAAAGTGCGAATGGTGAACTTGAGAACAACACCTTAAGGGAAGACAGTTGCCCCTCTTCACAGCTTCTTCATGGCATCTTCATGATGGTCATCACATCAACAGGTGTTGGCATTCCAAGCATCAGCATCGGTAGATCACCCTTCTTCATGTCCGACTTTGAGACCATTCAACCAATCCCCACCCCCATCGCTGGGATGGCCATGGGGTATGTTATTTTCCGAGCACTCAAACACGCGGCACTCGACATGTTGGGATCCAAGGCGGCATTTATCATCTTCGGACTGGGCAGTTGGATCTCCATCAATAGTGCGTGGGCCTTAGGCCCATTGCCTTAGGTACGCCTCGGTGGCTGTTGGATGGGTTCCAACCATTCTTGGTGGATTTGATGTCCTTTTGAGCCAAACCTTTTGTGTGGGCCGAGTGACTCGTCTTCTTGCACAGTGCATTTGGTGTTCTGCCGTAGAACTCATTCGTGCCGACGAACTGCACGGCGTGTGACTGCCGTTTTCGTGCCGACTCTCTCGACGAACTCATCACATCGACGGAACGCCATGAGGTTTTCGTACAATCATCCTTCCTGGTCTACAGCCAGCCAGAGGGCTGGTCTCTAACCACCTGGACTCCGAGTTTCAAAAAGAGAGCAGACAGATGTCAGTTTTTTTTTTGCGAAATCAGAGACACGTTTGCAGTTTGTCGGAGTTTAAGCATTGTCGTTGTGGTTTTCCGGGGTCTCCGTGGGATAATGTGAGTTTTGTCTTAAAGTGGCAGCAACCTCAAACCGGCTGTTCAATACTTTTGTGTGCTTTTGGGATCTTTTGGGGGGGGTCTTGAGAGAGAGAGAGAGAGCCATTTAATAGATATGCCATGGTGGCCCCAACCTGCAAGGTAGCCTAAATCGAAAGACCTGACATAAATCCTCAAATCCTAAATTGACCTCGCCTGAGGTCATATTCCAAGCATGAAAGTACAGTGAAGCAATGGAACATGTCTTTTTCCAATCATGGTCCTTGAACAATCACAACAAAAGCAGCATGAGACACATGCACACACACATATATATATATATACATACACACAGTTCTCTATAGAATGACGGCCTGACCTCCTGGCGACTGATCTGCCCAACACGTTTTATATGGGGCTGGCCGCTGGCCCCCCCTCGTTTCATGCTACAAGCTTCAAAAGATCTGGCTGAACCTCCCCCCCGACCCAGCGCATGGCACTACAGGGGCTGTCATCGACCTGTGCTTCACTCCTCTCATGGCCCCTTTCGAGAAACATCCTGCATCGATTTGCTTCACAAAAGTGGGAGGATTGTGGTTGCCTTGCAACTGGCCAACCTTGGTGCATTGCTGCTGCTGCAGGGGGTCTTAGACCGGTAAGTCGGGACATGTGAAAAAACTGAAGGCCTTGGTGTTGCGTTTCGGGTCTCGCTTTCGATGGGTCTCAGGCCGGAGCGGCAGATTCGGTTGGTCTTTCCCCTTTGGCGTCTCTCCAGTGCTTCAACCCAGCTCCATTACCAGTTGGTAGAGTCCTGGTAGATAGGTAGGAGGCAGCTGGGGCAGGCAACACCAGCCGATCCCAGCAGCAAATGCCAGAACAAAAGATGGAGCCCCAAAGTCTGGGATCTGCCAGACATGATAAGGTAGGTAATTCTGAAGCAGTTAATGCTTGAGACTTGAGACCACCATGCATTTACTGTAATTTCTTTTAACTTTTGAAGACATTTTGTTGATTTTTGTTGGGTGTGGCTGGAGACCAAGTGCAGTCGGATGTCACACATTGAATGAAGATGCAATACGGTGGTGATCCAACACGATGAACACCCAAAGCTGTCACGACCTACTTCACCACCTCTTTGGGGGGGTGGTCAACCATGGCCAAACTACGGCATTCCAACATTCCCGCAGGCAGGCACCAGCTCCGCAGCCTGAGCACCGAAAGTGTCACCCCAATCGGACATGCCAAAGGCGCCTCTTCGCGCGTTCCGCGCGTTCGGCGACCCGGGCCGTGCGCGGACTCCTGAGGCGACCGCTGGTGCGTCGGGCACCGGCCGACTGGAGAACCAGCGCTCTTCTGCTGCTGCTGGGCGTGTGTCTCTCGGTTGCTTTGGAGAGTTTTCCGGCCTCACCCTGGGCATCCGGCGGTCAGCCGTTGTCGTGCAGGAGAGGGAGAGGTAGGGAGGGTCGGTTTTGGGCGGCGAACGGCGCAGAGACCCATGATTGGACCACTGGGTTGAGCGGGCTGTTCGACCAGTTTGTTATTTTCTTTTCAGAATCCCATACCCCAGGCTTACTCTTTGTGAAAGACGCCAGTGTTTGATGCCACAGCCCGCCGCATGATTGTAAAACGGGTTGTTCGCTGTGTCTCAAAACTGACTCAGTGTTCTGTTCCCTCACCAACACCTCTACGTAGTAGTAGGACAAGCACTGTAGACGAATGGTTTCGTCTTGAAATGACATTTGAAGAGACATGTGCACAGGTGCATACAAAACCACAGTTCTAAGTTCTATCTCTGAACTATGGCCAGTGCTGGAGATTCAAAACGCTTCAGGTGCAAGTGTTGTTCTTGCCGCCGGAGCTTGCCATAGTACAGCCTGGCTCTTTGGCCTGGTGCCTCAGGCATCGAATTGTAAGGCTCATAAGTCATTTCATTACACTTTCGTTTGGCCAGAAATCATCCGCTTGCGCGTCTTCTTGGTCCCAAACACACACAATCTCTCTCTCTCTCTCTACATATTATACATGATCGTGATAATCTCTCTCTCTCTGTCTCTATATACAGTGTGTCTATATATATATATACATACATACACATACACACATACACACACCTTTCAGCCCTCAGCAGTTTTCCCAAAAGCTCGGCCTTTTCTCGGAAGCGATGCCGATCCCCGCGACCAACCCGGCCCGAGCGGTCCGAGGCGCCGAGCGCTCGACCGGGCTTCTGACCATGACCTTCGTGGCAGGACCGAGCGGTCGGTCGAGACGGAGGGAGCGGTCGGTCGAATCGGGTAGGAGTCAGGAGACGGAGAGAGGGGAACATCCTTTGCCTTAGGGAAGCAACAAAGAGTTTCGGCCATTTTGGGTGGTTGCCATGCGCTTGACTTGGTTGTGTGGTATTTTGGATGGCGAAGATCTCACACATGTTTCCACCATTTTCCTTCTGTGCTGTATGATGTCAGCTATCCGAACACGAAGAAGACATGCATCCTTACTCCATTTCAATCAAGATCCTTCCTGAACATGCGGAGATCAAGACAACCTGTTCTGAATGGATCGGAACCGGTAAAACCCTCCAGCAGAAGCACAATTCACAGCACTTCACAGCACTTCACAGCTTTCTTCCATGATCTTCCACCCAGCTGGATGCGTTTCTCCTCGTGCCTCTGTCATCGAGCTGCCTCCACCGGCAGTTCAGGCATCGCAAGCTGCGGCAGCTCCTTGGTCTTCTACCCCTTTGCGTCCACCTTTCCGAGGCGATGGGGTGAAGGGTCAGGGTGGCAGCGAGTGAGTCAGGCAGAGGAGGAGCAAGTGTTTTGGAGTGATGGAAGAGGACAGGACATGACCGGGAACGACAGGAGTGACAGCAGCGACAGGAAGACGTAATTATGACATCTTTCTGTGACATCTGATGTGCTTTGACTGGAATGCCTTTGATCATTTTCTACCTCCCTGTAGCCGTAGAAACAGGAGACTCGACTGGAGACTCTTCAGACCCATCAAGAACCCCATGACTATGGGCATTTTCCAGGCGAGGCACCAAAAACCAGCCACCCAGCGTTCCATCGTTCCAAAGCCGACGACGACGAAAAATCACTCTTTGAACACTTCACGTCCTCCACTCGTCTCATCTGACATGAACCCTTGGCTGGACCTTTCATCCAATCCCAGCCACACATCATGATCGTCTCCTGGAACCATGGGTCCTAAGACCCGCACCGGTGCCGGCCGTTGGCCACCGGAACGGGGCCCGGAAGACTTGGTCGAATGTCCAGGCGTTACACCACGGCACTGGCGATCGGTGAAGGTCTCAGCGGCTCTGCCGCAGGTGTCCTGGGCATGTTGCAGATCCTGGGCGCACACGGCGTTCGGCACACCGGGACAGGTGTCGGGACACCGGGACAGGCACCTGCTAAAACACCGATGGACCTATGAGTTGGGCGGTGCGTTTTGAGAGACCGGGTGTCATGCTGTTCCGGGTGTCTTTGGAGCGGTGCTGCGACAGGTGCTGTCGCTGGAGGGCTGTCAAAAACCCATGGATTTTGAGGGTGGAGCCCTCTTGAGCAAAGCAAAGATGTTCACTGGAAGATTGAAGGCTGCAGCTTTTAATGAGGAAGTGGGTGAAAGAGCGCTGCTCTTCAGGCACCTTCTTAGTGTGCACTTATGTGTGAGCTAAAAAGCGTAGCTTTTCTTTCTTCACGTTTTGCATTGCTTTGTTGCTCTTTCTTACTTATTCCTGTTCCTTCTATTCCAGTTCTCTCTCCCCAACTTCTTTGCTTTCTTTTGCTTCCTCTGCCTTGTCCTCTCATTCGTGTCCTTTCTTTGCTTTCTTTTTCTTTGTTTAAACTGTCGTTTCGTTGCCTTTTCGCTCCTTTGTCATCCATTTTTATTTTCTTATCCTTTCTTTCCTTCTATGTTTGTTTTTCTTTCTTTCGTTTCCTTTCTCTCCTTTGTTTTCCGTGCCTTTTGCTGGTCCTTTCTTTGTCCTCCTGTTTGTATGCCTTTCTTTGCTTTCCTTCCGTACTTACTCTTTTCCTTCTGTTTTTGGTTTGCTGTTCCTTCCCATTGTGTTTAATTCCTTTAGTGTCACCTTTCTTTTGCTTCGCTTCTCTGTTTCTTTGTCCTTTTCGTTGTTTCCCCGCCTTTCTTGTGTGTAGCCGTCTTATGTGATATGTCGTTCCCGATGGTTGCCCGGAACCCTTTTCACCGAAAGACGGCTACAACAGGGTGTCAGTGCACCCTGCTGTCGGTATAAGTGCGAAATCTCCAAGCTGCGCCCTACTGAAGAGTTGATTTTGCCACATACCAATGACCTGTTTCGCGAACAAGGTTGCATTTGCTGCTGACAGAGTGTTTTTTCAACAAGAAGTTCGATACACTGACATGTTTTGTACGTCGAAAGAATTTGTTGGAACACCTATAAGTTCCATCTGGCGATGCTGGTGTAATCTTCTGGGTCCAAGGAGTCCAAGGCCACACTGGCCCTTGTCGGTTGTACTCTGCAGATGTTATTCCTGGGTTTGCTGAGTTTGCTGTCAGATATTATGCCCATATTGGATAATCTAGAAAGTCTTCGAAATAGGAACCCATGCTTATTGACGAGTCTGTTCAAAGACACTTGGCGAGTCGGTTCCAGGGGATGTGTATCGTCTACTGGGATGGCTCACAGCCACACAGGCATGCACCAAAGGAATGTGGTCCCAAGGCATTGATGGATTGGCTTCCTACCTCGCCTTCCAGGAGGTTTTGAGGTCTTTAAAGCGTGATGCACCAAGCACACCTTAGAACCCAATGTGATCATACCATCCGTGTTCTTTGGACGACCTATTCTGTTGTTTCCATTTTCTATATGTTGTGTACACATATATGGTACACCAAAAACGCCGCCTCAGTACACCTAAAGGTAGAGGCGGCTAGCTATGTTGTACACCTATATGCCGTCGCCGCCCTCAGTCTTTCTCAGGAACTCAGGTGCCATAGCACGAAGTTCGACTGGAGCCTTCGCGTTCTCGGCGGTGCTTGGTGCGGTGGCACTGCTGGGGCTGCTGTGCCTTGGTGCGGACGGCGGTGCGCCGCCCTGTTGGGACCGAGCTGGTCATCATGTCCTCTTGGAGAAATCAGTGTTCCGTTTTGAATGAACCAATCGAATCATGCGTTAGTTGAGAACATAGAATCCCCCCAGAACCAAAGGGCTTGGTCAAGCAGGTCATGCCGTGGTTGGTCACGCAAGTAGGTTACGCAAGTAGGTCGACCGCTGCTTTCGCCGCCGCTGTCCTGCGCCGTGGTCGCAACCGATGAATCAAGGTCACGGATCCCTTTTTTGGAAACAAAGCGGCAACGGCTCTTTACACAAACCACGGAAGGGATTGCCGAGTTGGACATTTTCTTGGGTTTTGCTAGGAAGGTCATTTTTTTGACAGAGAGAGAGAGAGGATTGGGTGGTTCAGATGCACCAGAAGTGTCTCCAGATTAGACCCGCATTGTCCAAAGTGTTTTTTCATGCAAAACGTCTTATATATTTGGCAGATGTGTTGGCTATATTTTGTGCTTAAATGACAGATCTAGAGGAGACTGCAGATGTCAGATGATGTTGGATTTCTTGGTTGATCTTTGTCGATTTTTCTTCTCCTCACTACCCATGTTTCGCCTTCACACCCGCATCTCCAGGTCCCCACACCGTTTTTGGCATGGCGTCACCTCGCGTGCGCGCTGCGCACGTGCTCACCACAGCAAGCAGGTTTCTAGATCGCCACCCATATGCCAAGCTGTGCCATGAGCCTCCGCAAGCATGTGAAGCCGCTCCCTTGCATGGGATGATCCGTGGGCCAGGATGACCCATCAACACCACACCATAGGGCTGGATGTTGGCCAGGAAAGCCAAAGAAGGCCTCAGCAGGCTTCAGGTGTTTGCCAACTAGCTGCTCCAAAAACATTGATGTGTCCCAGTCTTGTGTGAAATAGCTAAAGCTTAATATGGCAGTGGGTCCAAACCCTCCTACACGAACACCTCAAACTGAGTTCAGAGACCTTGTGGTTTCAGCCTTCAGTTTACAATTGCTGATGCATTATTTTCTTCGAGTTTGCCTTAAACTGAGAGTTTCTGATGTTGTTCAACTGAGTTTCCACCAAGTCAAGAGCTGTGATTTTCACCTCAAAAAGCCAGAGACGCAGATCGTAGATCGGGAGCTGAAGATCGATCGGTTGACATGACCAACGGGGTGCGTCCACACCAGAGGCCTGACGCTTGGGGGATGACCACAGGCGACGATAACCCGTTCAGAAGTGCACATTGCTTTGTCTCCACCATGGAACTCGTCTCTCAAATCCGGAACAAGGAAACGAAGAGATCAAATCCATTGGGTGGAGGGTGGGAGGGGGTGCCTTTTTGGTCTTTCTTTTCTCTTTGAGGTAGACTCTGACCGTGGGAAAGGCCCGGGGCCTCCAAAAACATCTCCAAAAGCCGACTCCGCAAGGAGAGCATGTCTGGCAGAGCCACAAGCAATTGCGGCTTCTTGGCATTGAATAACTCAGCGAAGCCTTGACATCCAAACTGCTAAGCCTTCACCAGAGCCTGAAGCTTGAAGCCTGCAACATTGATGTCAAGAGGAGAAAATAGACGGTTTTTGGAGGGTATAGATCGAATCAGATTGTATCAAACGGAGTCTGTAAGAACTCCTGCATCCTTGCTCCCAAAATGGCAGGACAGTCCCACCCAGGTGGTTGGGGGCCTAAAAAGGACCGATTCACTGCGTCACCAAGGCACCTCTGATTGGCGGCATTTCTACCCCAGCTTCGTAGCAACTCGAAAGCCCAAGTGCTTTCGTTTTGCAGCGGAACGGTACGGCCGCCCGTCGTAGAGCGTCCGGACCGGAGCGGCTAGGTCTCCTCGACGGTCCCTCGAGAAGCTTCGGTGGTCTTTTTGATTCACACCCTCGATTCGACGTGCGTCCTGTGTGTGTGTGTGACCTCATTTCTTCTAAAGGTTTCAGTTTTGAAGCATGCTGGCGCTCAGTGATAGACATCAGAGCTTTTCCATTTTCAGTGATAGGCATCAAGAAATCGACTCAGCGACGCAAAGATGAAACACTGAGGCAGTCTTCGTGGGTGCTGCTTTGAACTTTGGCCTTCTTCCCTCCTTAAATCCCCTTGCATGTGGCCAGGCTGAAGCTTCGACGTCGCCTTTTCGTTTGTCTCGTGGGCGCCGGTGGACCGCAAGCTGGGCTGTAAAAAGCACAGTCCGCGACGTCCGCAGCACAGGTGATGGTCGACGTCTCTGGTCGACCCGTCGACCTCATGGCACGTAAGAAGACCCCAAAGACGACAGGAGGCTGCCAGGGTGGGCCCTGCCTCCAGGAGGCTGCCGTAACGGTTTTGATCCAATTCTACTTCTGATCTCCGGTTTGACCAGCTGAGGTTCGCACTATGGCAATTCACAGACAGCCAGAGACCCAGATGTAGCCAGCCTTCCGGCGAGCTATTTTTGGACTGAGTGCAGCTACGACTCATCTCTAGAAGGATGGGGCCAAGCAGACGCCATGTTTTGAAACCATGTGGTGCAATTGGATGTCCAAGTGCATTGAAAGGCAACGAGGCATTTTGGTTGGACGTCGGAAGTGACATCGAGCAAGTGTGTCGGAGGACGAAGTACGAACTTTGGAACGAGTCTTTCCCATGGTCGGTTTGATTTATTCAGTTGCAGTCATGGACCAAAACACACTGGATGATGCGGGGACTGGGTGTTTGAGCAGTTGAAGCGAAGGGAATCCGGTGCATTTATGGAATGCTGCTTGCAATGGAAGCCATTCTGCACATTCTGCACCACCTGAACACCCAGAACACTGTCGAGTGTCGAGGGTTCGCCGAGGGTTCCCTCGGCTGAAACCCAAGAATCCCAGCCGAACCCGACTCGGGAATGGGGCGAAGATACAAAATAGATACCCATGGAGGTATCCTCTATGAAATGAGGTTCCAACCCCCCCCACTAAACCTCCATGGGGATCAAGAAAGGATGGCTCAGATCAAGGTCCTTTTGTGGAGCAATGCTGTGATCTACGGCTTCGATCCGGTCAGCCGCTTGATGACGGCCTTCACTCACTTTAGGACGGTTCCAACAGTTTTTTTTTTTTTTTTCGGTGCAGTGTCTCCTTCAAGCAACAAGGTGGGGACTACAGTTTCTTGCTTCACTTCACACCAGTTAAATCCATTTAAGACTTATATAAAGCTTGTTGGCCAGTGAGATGAGATTACCACGAGGCTTTCTGTGAGCTCCGGACTCCGGACTCCGGCTTCTCTTTAGGAACCGCTTTTGAGCGCTGGTCTTTTGCCTTGCAACTCGGACAGTGCCATCGAACCAGGTTCACTTTGAAGATGAAGTTGAAGTTGAAGCCTTTCCTTCACATGCGCTGGTTTCCTTCACCAATTCTTTATATACCAACTACCCTCATTTCAAAATTCGGAACTTCTATATTGCATCTCTGTGTATTCTGAACCGCGGGCTTCTTGGTGTTCTTTGACAGTTTCCTTGCCGAAACGCCAAAAGCTGCCTTGGTTGGGATGCTCCAGTTCAATCCAGTTCATGTATTCGGTTCTAGGATGTTCTAGGGATGGCCCATTGCGGGTGGTTTGGTAGAACCAGGAGACAACAGCAGCCATCCCCACAAGCTCCGCTCAACCGCCCTCACAGGCGCCTCAACGCCTTGACCTTGCTCTTCACCTGTGCCGCGCTGCTCGTGACCGGTTTAGCGAAATGGCCCAGCCTTGCTTGGAGCCCATGGGTGGCTTGGACTCCCGATCTTTGATTGAAGGGTTGTTCAGTGAAGGACGCGCCTTGGAAGGACGCCCTCCCCGCAGGCCGCTTTGTACCGGGCAGGGAGGCACCGTCACAACGTGAAGAGGGGTCACTGAACGATTTTTCCGATTGTCTGAGGCAAGAAGAGCTAGGAAGAGGCTCCGAATTCCATTTCTTGGAGGCACCCTAAAATTGAACAATGCATCGAAACATGAGGGGTGTTTGCCCGTTCAGGACTCCTTTACCATCCAGTGGACATGGTTGCTTGTATTTGTTGGCAGTTTTGGAAACTGAACATCACTGAGACCTGTTTGTTTGGGAGCCATCTTTGCGAGATTTGAGGTACCGTCTCACCGAAGCCCAGCAGAAATCTGACGCCATTTCATGCATGTAAATACGGGTCCAAGCAAGCGGCCTACGTGGTGGTGGAAGAACCTCGGAGCTTGAGGGGGTTTTGGCCCCAATGTCCCAATGTTTTTGCAGACTGTCAGGTGATACCAATGGCCAACGTGGTCTTTGCTGCAAGCTTTGGCTATGCACGGACCATGGCTTTCCTCATCCTGAAGGCCGGGAGACTCAAGAGAATCGGAAAAGACTGTGCCATGTGACCGCCAGACCTTGGGATACTTTAATGGTTCCAATGTACTTAACAAAGTTATTGCGGGGGCATATCACATCTGGAATAATTTTTCTGGAATAGTTAGAATCAGGATGAATCAGGCATATAGCCTTAAGGTATTTCTATGAGGGGGTATACATGATGTTTGCCTCCATCTGGAATAATTAATGTCAAGATACTACGGAATAATTTCTGCACATAGCTGCTGAGAATTGAAGCCAAACTTGGGCAGTCTTGAGCGCAATGAGACTTTGGCGCTTTCAACTCTCTATGCATAATTTGTGGCCGTACTCAGGCTGTTACAGATAGTGATTTTGATGTGATATGGCTATTCAACATGGAATCAGGGGGGTCTATGTTGGTTTTCCCAAGTATTCCACACGTGGATGACGGAATGAATGTCCCAGATCGAGGTGGAACAGGTCTGTAAGAATACCCATATGAATATTACTGGGTATGTTGAGATAGGGTGGTCTATGGCAGGGACCAAATTTTCTTAAAGACCGCAGTGAGTCGTCAAACAAAGAATACATATAATACGCATTCTTGATGGACGTTCCAAAGTGACGCTGCAATGTCTTGAGGGCTCTACAGCTTCTATGTGCGTTTAACTCTTGCGCTTTGCGGTTTCCAGGGGCGAGCATGACCATCTTCAAGAGGTTTGTCTACTTGGCACTGCTTCTTGACACGTTGAAGTGAACTAGTTGTTGACCATGGTACCCCATGCCAGGGAAGGGAGGGAGGGAGGGAGAGTCTTTCTGTCTCCTTTCTCCTGCGCTGTTTTCCGATTGGTCCAGGATGGTGCGGATCCAACACATCTTTACTGGTTGGCCGGGGTGGTTCTGCAAGCCGGCAGCTTCCTGGGCAGCGTCGTGCCTCGGGAGCGGACGGAGTTCGCGCAAATTCTCGCTCTGAGCAGCGTCGGGCTTCGGGATCTCAGCGAGGTCACAGCGACAACTGTAGGATCAATCGCCCAACCTTTGGGCAGAGGGGAGGTCTTGTGAGGCCATGTGAGGCCTTCGGGGTGTTATGGCTATAAGAGCTGGACGTTTTCTTAGCCGCCGATGTTCGAGCTGAGGTCTCTTTGCTCCTAGTAGAGGTCTTGAAGGTCTTCTGACTTCTGGCGAAAAAAAGCGCTGTCGCGGAGTCGTTTTTTGGGAATCGACCTCGATCTTGGAGGGATGCTCTGGTTGAATAACTTCCGACATAAGAACCAGTAGCAGACACACTGAGGTGTGTGGGGTGTGCATGCAAATTAGTATGCAAAAACATGTCAAACCATTCCAGCACGCATGTGGCCCAAATCCACCAGTGCTGGGAGTGTAGACCCTTCGCAAACCCTAGGACTGGCCATCAGCAGAAGATGAGGGATGCCAAATAGATTGGTTTACTGTGTCCAAGAGGATATGTATTTTCATAGGGAGACCCCTTTCTCGCCCTGGGTAGACTGGTCTATTTGGGAGGTCTTCCTATTTTCATACACACGATTGAAAACGTGTTGAAACGGATTCACTTTTCGATGCGTCTTTCACCACACTTGCTGGATTACCAGTACCACCCTCTGCTTAAATAGGGTTATGAAGCCGGACAGAGACATTCCCGGAGGTTCCAGGCTGAGATTGTATGGCTGTAAGACCGTGCTGGTTCCCGCGAGAGAATGACCTTTCCTTAGCGCTTGGCCTGAAAAACACGGCACGGTCTTACGCATGGCCTTTCCTTTCTGGCGGCATGTTCACTGCCACCCGACGTCAAAGCAGCTCCAGAGTGGAGGAATTGAGAGAGGACGGCCAGATAGGAACATGTTGCAACCCGAATCTGACACTGCCAACATGTAAAGAGGACACATACATGTATTATCACACATATATATATATATATAATACACTGTTTCTGCAGTTGCATGTCTATTCTCAATTTGCGGCCATCTAGCAATGGCCTTGGCAGAGGGTGACGCGACTGCGTGGGCTGGAGTGTGCTCCAAGCTTGCTTCCAGGAGAGGTCTTAGCAATTTCTGGATTGTACACTGCTGCTCAAAGTGTCCGTCTGAGGGAATCCGAAACTCACACTTGGGAGGATATACGCGTACGACTACTGGATTACTGGATGCTACTTGTTAGGGTGGTGTTTTCGAACATAAGTTGGAGTCGAAGAAGGGATCTTCAGCAGCCTCACATGACACCCAACCTTCCTGTAATTGAGCCACTCGACAAGGCCGAAGCGGCCATATCAAAATATAAATGGATTGCACGTCATCTTCAATGTGCAGAAAGCTTGCAGACTGTTTAGCACATGGTGGAGCTAACTCACGGCCAAGGATATTTGGCGACGCAAGGTGTTTCTTCTCTTGTCTAGCTAGTAAAGACAGCTGATGAGACAGGTGAGCAAATCATTGCACATGTCTCCTTAGTTGTGGCTGCGTGAATTCCAGCGTCAAGTGGCTGCAGCATGCACAAGTGGTGGAAGGGGTGAGGTGGGTGCTGTTGACGCGTGCTGGGGTTGTCATGGATTGCCGCAAGCTATCTATTTGTTGTTTGCAGACCGCTCGGAGCCTGTGGTAGATTTCCTGATCTATCTATTTGCCACACTCTGCCAGCAAGAAGAAGCACAATGGTGTGCGAAAGGAAAGCCAGCTTGATAGCTATATAACTGTTAACAACACGGCAGGACATTTAACCACCGCCGCTTCGCTGTAGCCACCAGCAAAAGATCCCACAATTTGTAGGTTTCATGTTCTCTTGTTGGGGTCTGAGTTTTTCAACATTGCTTTTGCCCTATATACTTTTGCGTGTTGCACCACTGCTAGTGGAAGTTCCAGCCCAGGTTTCTCACTATTTGGATCACATCCAGCCGGCAATCGATCAGCTTGCAGCTCGCGAGTGCCACTACTTTGCAGACCTGGATCCGACTGTGTTGCCGGAGGCACAAACTGTCAGACAGTGGAGCAGTTGTGAGTCATGCGCACAAATGGTTCATATCTTTGTAGACATCAACATGTGTACGTACGAATGTATACGAATGTGCAAAGGCACGTAGCATAGGTCGCATAGGTCGAGAGGCTGAGCCGCTGAGCGGAACATAGATACATCAACACAGCAAACACGGCATCTGTTCTTCAGGCCTTTGAAGCATGGCATCGATCTGTCGGCATCGTCTCTGTCGGCATCTCGGCACGGCACAGGACGGTGCGTTTGGAGAACATCGCCTGGAGAGAATGCAATCGTTCCTCCAGTTCCAAGACTTGGTAGCACATGCTGTGGACCAGTGGTGCCGCCAAGCCAATGTCGGAGAGGTGAGAGTGGATATCGCCCGATTGATACTTTGGTAGTATAAGACATAGCAACATTGCCATCTGCTCAAAAACAGTGTTTGCTAGCTGCTAGCTCAGTTGGGTGCTGGTCAACCATTCTGTTAAGTTCGCAGCGTTTGTAGCAGGGAGATTAGAAAAGGATTCGTGATGGTCCGCACTGTACTCCGCTCTTTTTGAAGAAGTCCGGCCATACCGTGCGATATCTGCGATTGTTTTCTTCGATGCTTAGTGGGCACAGCTGGTGTTCAGCATCTCCAAGAGACGCCGCTTCGCAGCCTTCAACGACCAGGACCTTCTCCACCAAGCGCTGAAGGAAGCAGCAGCACAGACCCAAGCAGACCAAGAAACGCACCTCGGAGGAATCACTGGTCGCTGTAGCTGCAGATAAACTCCCACAGAGAGAGAGAGAGAGACAGAGAGATGGGACCTCTCCTCAGATATAGGCCCCTGGCTCTCGGCCTGCTTGTGGCATCCCAAGAACAGGCAAAAAGGAAAGGGCTTAACCGGCGAAGTTTGTTGTCAAGGAAGGTTCCATCTACACATTGACCGACTCTGCTGTTCCCAATTTTGCCCTTCCTTAACTAGATACTTATATCCATTGTGAGCTTTGTCCCAGCGGTTACTGTACACCAGCATTCCTTTGATCCAATGGTAAAACTTTGCTGCCTTTCAGTTTTGGCCTGCGCCTCTTGCGGAGCGATTCATGGCCCCATTCACACCGGTGAGGTGCCACTGCTCGCTCAACGGTTTCGAACTAGGCCTGCTGGCCTGGTATGGTCAGGGGTAGGCAAATCTCTGGGAGTCGGCGTGCGGAGTTCGAATACAGAGTCGCTCCCAGGATCTCTTTTTCAGTGGTGTGAGATCTTGATCACCGCTCCGTACCCACAAGAAAGGGCCACTCCGCATCCACACCGAATCCGTTTTCGCGACCTCGACCTTTGACCCAGATCGAGGAACGGCACCATCCTGCTGGAGCTTTTAGCCTCTGCAGATGATTTCGGCACCTTTGCTGCGTACATGGCGGGCGAGGCGAAGAGCTCCCTTCGTGGTGGCTATGCAGGTGGGGCAGACCTGGCGACGGTGGCTCGAGCAATGGGGGGTTGAGGCTCCACCACCAATCCACGGCATTCAAATAGGTTGGGATGTGCAGTCTGATTGTGGAATCTCGTGAGCAATAAACGGGTCATATATTAATGCAATGAATAGGTTGCACCAGATTAAACTTTACCGGGGTCATGGCTCAACTAGAATTTCAGGTTGCGATGAAAGGTGCAGCAAGAACACCCTATTGGCCAACCAAGCAGGAAACGCAGACTCACCGATCACCGATCAAGTTCCCCAACGGAGTCCAAAGTGAAGCGACTCCCGAAGCTGCACACGGGGTAGAATGACAAGGAGTCCTCATCCGGGAGGCCCCTTGGTTGATGCGCTCAAGCTTGTTACATGGCCGAACATGTTTACATGCATCTGCATTATGTTTTCCACCTTCAAACATTGAGGTTCGTGAAAGAGCTTTCGGACCATTGACCTCGCAACGGCGTTGAGAAGGCGGCAGGATGCAGCGGCTGAAGGAATCTTGTCTGAGAAAGACACTGAGAGCCAATGCGATTTATTTGCACCGCTGGTGGGTGCTTCACATTCGAGCATATTTGAGCTTGTTTTTAACGGAGACTTGGATCATGCCTCGTCATACTACAGGGGCATTTAATCCAACTAAGGTTCTTGTGTTCTAAGGTTCTTGTTCTCATCTACGACTGCTGAGTTCAACTTGCTCAAGCCGCTTGACGCACGTCCAACGTGGAGAAGACTGACAGCTTCCTGCGGTCAAAGCAATTTGGACAGGTCGTCTTGGATGGATGAACTTCCGGAAGGTGACTGGACTCTTGTGCAGTGGAAGCTTGTACCGGCTTCAACCATCAGTGCTGTGGGCTTGGATGTCTGCTTCATCTTCTTTTCTGCAAAGCCCACATCCAAAGTCTTGCACGGACTTTCGGCCTTGGTTGCTAAGCACCGCGTCCGCGGAAAAAGGGGTACTTCGGTTCGGACTTCGCCCATGTGGCGTGCGCCCAATGGATTGCTTCTCAAAAAGAGATCTCAGCAGGCAAAGGTGCCTTGGAAGCTAAACAGGCCATCTTGGTCCATGTGCAGCCTTCAATACTGCTAGATGTCTGGCCATTTTCTCCAATGGTGCAGAAACCAATTCGACCATCCCTCACATGTGCATTAATAAGGCGTAGTTTCAGCTGTTCTCATAGGCTTCATTGGCAAAGAATGGCACAGAGAATTCCAAGGGCAGAGACTGCGTCTCAAACGACAGGGCCCTTTTCACGCTGAACCAACGAACCCAATCAGTTGGTCAAAACCGGAAGACGACGCCTCGTTCTTCCTGAGACACAGTCTGAGACACATCCGACACACATCCGAAATCGGACATGGGACGAATTCCGATCGTCCGACCGCAGCAAAAGCCGTGTGTGGCTTGCAGCAAAGTCTGGCGTTGTTTTAGAAATATCGAGATCCCCAGGTTTCGGCAGGTGCGCGTTCGACGCGCGCGACGCGGGCGGGTTCGGCCTTTCTGGGTGACCTAGATTTTTCCACAGCAAGACGCGCTCTGGTTCTGGTGCGACCCCGCCGTCGGGTTTTCTTGGGGGGGGCAGGGTCACCACTGAAGTGCACCATACACACCGTACCAGATCATAAGAGGTGAACCTAAGTGTCTTAGACTCTAAGCATCAACCTTTTTCAGGGACCTTGTTTTCAGGTCGGATCGCAGGTTCTTAGGATGATCAGGATGGCAAATCCATGATCATCCATCTGTAAATACATGCAAATACCACTGATTGACCATTGATGTCAGTGCATTCCCATGTTGTGCAGCACAAAAAAAGACTCGTCCATACGATGACCACCGCCTGGCACCGTCGCCAGGCGAATGCTCTTCATATTCCTGGCCGGCGGCCTCTTGAGCTGCGAGGCCTACGTGAAACATGAGGCCAGCACAAGCACAAACACATACGTCTAAAAGTTCACGTGCGTCTTAGACGCAAGCGAACGGGGAATCATTCGAGCAATGGAGCTGAGTTTGCCTTCTGCGTTGGATTCTGAAGGTTCGAAATTTGTTGTTTGACGTTGTTTGAGATTGTTTTTGTTTGGATGTTTAGTTTTGGTCATGATCTTTGATGATCTTTGGTGATTGTTGTGTCCACTGCGTTTAGCAAAGTGTTTCTCTCGTGTCCAAGGAGATATTGTTGCAACTTGAAATCCCCCAAAAGGCTCGTGCAACATGTAACACATTGGCTTGATCGCACAGGATGTAGACCAAGGGCATGCTTGGTCATGTCCCTTTCGTTGGTTAGGGTCTTACGCTTCAGAGTTGAAAAGGTGGCACGATGCGGTGCAGCGGTGTGTTCCACAATGTTTGGAAGGTAGGGATGACCATCACCCTCCCATTTGTTTGACTGCAAGTTCCAGGTTACGGTGTCTCCACAGATGAGAACCTCCAAGTGGATCATCCAATGGTTCAGATAACAATGACATGCTGTCTAAGATTTGGTTCAAGATCTGTCCTATTTGGGGATCATGAATCCAAGACCATGCCAATCTGTTTTATTGCAGAACACTCCACGAGCCGGGGCCATTTCGCTTGCTTTACCTTTGGGTCTTAGGAGATGCAAATCTCCGCCAACGGCGTGATGAGAAGACACCAGGAGGCCATCCTTCAGTGCAGCCAAGCTCGCGATAGCTATGAAATGGACTGCAGAACATGTCCTTTTGATATTATGCATTATATATATAGAGTATTGATATGTATTGATGAGTATTGTATAGTTCTTTTTTACAATAATATATATATATATACACAAATGAACGCCAGGCGGCCCTTCACCCGATGACTCTCATCACAGAGGTGCATTGGTGTGGTGTGGCGGGAATGGCCACCCTTTCTTGCTGCCCCGAGTCTCAAGGTGTTCCACAAACGAGCGGCCATCAGTTGCATGGCCAGCTTGAGCAAAAACAGGGTCTTCAGTGATAGGACCTAGGATATGCCCGCAGAAAAAAGAGCAGAAGAGGATTTGAGTTCCTTCAACAAAGCCCACTGCCCATGGAATTCCGATGATTTCCTGTTTGCAATGCGACGCCTGTTGAGGATCCCAGTGATTCCTCGTCGGATTCCACCACCGAAGCGACGACCACCACCGCCGCCGAAGCGACGACCACCACCGCGGCGACCACCACCACGACCGCGGCCACGACCGCGACGACCGTGGCAACGACCGCGGCCACCACAGCAGCAACGACAGCAGCAACAACAGTGGCAGGGACCCCAGCCCAGTAGATGGCCCAGCTGCAAAGCTTGCAGGGTTGCATACGGTTGGCTGAAGACACGAATTTCAAGAACCTGGATTAAGGTTTCCGAGGGGTAACTTGACGACACCGTGAGGTCATTTTGTCCAAACCATTAAACCATCAATGAATTGGCTCAATAGATTATCTATAGGAAGCCATGGTTTTCACTCCAAAACTATTGGTTTTCTGTAGATTGTCCCTTAAACCAATTCTTCGATTCTTTCCTGGAGTAGGACATGTGAAGCCATTGGTCGGCACGGAGATGCCCACAAGCAACACCTCTCAAAAGGCCTTTTTTTGATTCTGGTGGGGCAGTTAACCTTGATTGACTACTAGGAACAAGGACGATACTACTACAGGCTCCTGGCATCGCTACTAGGAACAAGGACGCTACGAACGGGGCTCCTGGCCTTACTACTAGGAGCAGCTGCTTTGAGGCCAGCTCCACCGTCACCACAACCACAGTGTCTCGGCGAAGATCGCGTTCTTGGGATGCTCGAGGGACGCTGCGTCCCTCGGACCCCGTCTCGCTTTCGGTCAACCATCCCCCATTACAATACACACACACACGACACCTTATTTGTATTAATATGTAACATGATCAAACCTGTTTCTTAAAATTCATCAACCACCCCGGTACTAACGAAAGACATGCTAAGTGGATGCAACCAGTTGCTTCCCATCCGGACATCGCTGCACTCGGCGGCCTCCGTGCGTCTCGCTGAGGTCACGGAGACGACGACGACAACGACGACGACCGCCACAACGGTCACGACGACCACTGCAACGAAGCTTCGACCACTGGGTAGTCGAGATGAGAGAAGAAGTTTTATTTATGTTTTACCAATAACCCCGCCGGGCCTGCAGGATGCATCAATGGGAATCGTGAAAGTGAGGATTGCAGTATGAGGGCATTTCATGCAATTTTAATCAACTTTAGAGTTCGAGGGTACGTTGTATGCAAGGCACGCACTGCCCGACTTGTGTCCTAGGAAGTCTTACTAGATTGGCAGACAGAATGATTTCTTGATTTTGTTGATAAAGGCCAGTAGCAGTCACTTCATGTGTTTTTGTCATTAATTTGTGGTTCACATATGCTCTCCATGTCCTCCAAAACCAATTATGTAATCCTATTCCTGCCGCTCTTGAATGTCCATCCATGATCATGCGTAGCAACTATACTCTGACTCACTATCAATGGAAGCCAGCTGACCCATTTTCTAATAAGAAATCCGTCTTGCCAGCCACAACAGGAAACATCAATGAGACCATCATGCTACGAGTATCATGCATGATGCAGCACATGCACCTGAGCCCACTAAGGACAACTAGCATGACGAACACTAGCACCAGCAACCCTCCGAACAATGCATCGCTACCAGGCACGTCTTGGTCTGTGGCATTCCTTTGAACCTGCAAAGGTGACAAGGTTATAGAGTTATAGAGTGTTGAACATGAGAATCGATCCATTTTTTGTCCGTGGCTCTTGCTGGATGAGCCGTTTGGGAACAGATGCGAAAGCATGGTTGCTGAATTTTGACAGATTGTTGACATATGATTTATTCTTGCAGGTGCGCTCATCACGGATCATCGGAAAGCACAGGTCCAAGTGAGCTACACCCAAAGCCCCCAGCTATGGATGACCAGTGGGAAGTACAACCATCCAGTAACAGGGAGTTCTTTAAAAACGAGTAATCCAGGTAGCATGGCCGCAGCTCAAAGAGTGTGCCAAACAAGACTTGCACACTCAGATTCTGTCCCCCGTTGGTCTTGGCCTTCTCCAAGCTGTTCGTCCACCGGTACGGTCGCCTTCAGGCGAGGTGCCGCCCAAGCCGGTGGTCGTCTCAGCAGCCATAGGTGCCGGGGACATCGGCGACGCACTTGTTCGATGGCGAAAGGGTGTGGGGCAACGTTTTGGGCGTCGATTTGGGTGTGTATCAGACTAGGGAGACTCTCCATATCTCTCTGTAGAGCTTGGGTTAAAGGAACCATCGACTATACCCCTAAAACCACTGTTTGTTTGCCTATTCTACTCCACACCCAAAGATGCATAGCCTAACTTCACACTCCGAGATCTCTGAGGCTCTGCCCACCCCTTCGAGATTTGGGGAGTCTAGGGAGCCTGGCTCTAGTGCCACACTGGTTGCTGTCCGCTCCGAGAAAGAGAGGCAAGCCCATCGCGTGGGCTTTGGCATGTTCTTGCAATCGTCCGTGAGACGGGGATCGTCAGTGAGACAGGACGTGAGACGGGACGTGAGGCGGGAAATCCACGGTCACAGTCTTTTTCAGCCCAGGAGCTCGTTCGGGAAGGCCAAAAAGAACACTAATGATTACACCATCGTGTGGACTAAACTTTCCACACCTCTCACCGGACATTTCACTCCACTTCGTTTCATGTCGGACCTCGGCCACCCTTGGCTCAGACCACCGTTCGGGTGGCTCCGGTTACGCTTCGTGTTGGGGTCCGCCGCGGGGCGAGACGGGCAGCCGCTGCCGCCGGCGCCATGTCAGGTGGCTTTCGGTGGGAACCGGGTGGGTGGACCACATGTTTTAAACAAAAAATGATTCAAAAGACTCTTCTGGTTTTAAACAGAACGATTGTTGGACATCAATGTATCCATGGTTTCTGCATGTGAACGCGCACAACTTCACTTGTTCCCATCTTTGCAATTGATTTGGAGTTGTAGTTGAAAATGGCCGGAAGGGTCAAACAAGTCAGTCGACAAGTCACAGAGGCTTTCTCGGGGCCCTCACGAGAAACCACAGTCCTTCTGTGCCTGCGCACACGCGATTGATGGAGAAGTACCCAAAGCATAGAACATGTTACAGTTACACTGGATGGAAGAATCCCTTGGAATTGAATATGTGAACATGGTGTCCCATAATGTTGACACCACCGCGCATTCTTATATACATGTTCCTGTACTTCTCGAAGAACCAGGAATTTGACCGAAGAACTTGTCCAGTGGCACAGAAAGAATACAGAAGTGTTGCAGAAGATGATATGAGGTTGTTCAGACAGGTATAGTAATTCACACCCTTTCTTGGCATCTTCTTTTGGGCATCGGCTTCGCATGTTGTTTGGATGCGTTCATCTCACGTGCTCCTTCACCTTTGTTTTGGACATCCTGATCCCCAAGGAGCTGACCCTTTTGGTTTGACGGCCTTTTGCCTTCACAGAACACTGCTGAATGAGGTAAGACTCACCATTGGCCATTCCGCACCTGGGCAGATTCACCAAACCAGTCTAAGACTAGGCCAGATGCTTTTCCATGTTTTTCCTTCGATCTGGTGGGAAGGACGGGGTGATTGACGCATTGCTGGGTAAAAACGAGTGGAGACCTTGCGAGGCCAAATGGTGCTGCGGTGCACCAAGTGGGGGAGCCCATTCACCCAGCCGGATTCCAGGCTCCAGGCAGCCGGAACTCCACGTCACCAGGATGTACCAGGAAGTGAAAGTTCTTTCGTCTTGACTAGTGTATGTCTTGACCTGGTATAGATTGGGTGTCTCCTCTCATCTGACATAGCTACTAGTAACAAGGGCATTGCTACTAATTAGTAACAAGGGCATTACTACTAGTAGCTAGAAGCTACTAGTAACATAAGTCGACCGGGGCGGTTTTTTCTAAAGAGGAGGACCGGACTGCGTGAGGTCGGAGATCGGAGCGGCTGAGGACGGGGCGTCTGTTCTTCAGCACGGCGGAAGCCACAGAACATGCCGAAGCGTTCGGCAAGGCCGGGGGGGGGGGGGGGGGGAGTGGGGCAATGGTCCCAGGGAGGATCGGTGGTAACAGAACAGGGATTTGGTGGTCGTGGGGCACCAATTGAATGGTTGAATCAGTGGTAAAGACGTAGGGGATTGAGCGGGAGACATGCAACTGCCTGGTAGGGGAGCAGAGAACAGCGGGCAAGACCACAATTTCCCTCACGTCTAAGAAAGGAACCTCCCCCTGCCAAGTAAAAGCTTATGAAACGAGATGACGGATGTTGGACCACAATTGTTCTTCCAAGTTTGGGGATGAAGAGAGTCTTCAGAGGAAGAGGGGTTTCAGTTTGTGACATGATCCGAATCACTCAAATCATTCGTGAAGATCGAGAAAGTCTCGGCCGTCAAAGCAGGTGTGTGAACATTCGGGTATGTGACCAACTGATGAGGTCAAAGTTTGCAATCTTCTTGTACTGAACAGATCTGAACAGATCTGATCACGAACGGGGTGTCGCTGCCAATGTTCTAAGCAGCCATTTGCTGATGCGTCTGGTGGGGCGGCAAGGCGTAGTCACCCACTCCACCGGAACTGGGGAAAAACAGAGAATGGGTGCTAAGCCGAGCTGTTCACCTCCAAGTCTCCTGGAGTCTTGGAGCTCCAAGTCTCTGGACTACCCGTTCATCTCTCGGGTGAGGAACTCGAAGGTGGAGATTAGGGAACTAACCTGAAGTTCTCTAGCCTCGTGAACTGGATGTTTCTCAATCACCGAATGTGGGGGCCCACAGGCCTTTCGGTCTATTTGTCCTTCTACCAGTGGCTCTGAATAGTTTTGAGCCGAAGCCAACTCAAAGATGCGCTGCGCTGCTCGCAACGAGTCCAGGAGTATGCCAACTTCGATGAGGTTGGCTTGGATCACAAGGCAGCGACGTGAAAAGCTGGCAGATGTGGGGGGAAGCCGGGTGTGATGCACACCATGCCCGAGAATTGCCTATTTTCTATGCGGATCAACACTGTGGCTCATGAGATGGGCGGTGGTCGTGGAGCTCGACATAAAAGATCAAAACCCTTCGGGGTCCGAGGAAATAGAACCAACACTCCGACTTACTAACATAGAAGTGGATGGCACCACCTCTTCGTAGAAGGTCGTCTTTCAAGGGACCATGCCATCCACTTCTGTGTTACAATGTGGACGAGGTCCACCTGGAGCCTTTTCACACCTGCTGGGTTGTCGGGGGAAGACATCGTCTTTGAACTTGGATGTAAAGCGTTAAGAGGCTTCTTGTTTCTAGTAGCTTCTTGTTACTAGTAAGGCCAGGAGCCCCGTTCGTAGCGTCCGATCGCTCCGTTCGTAGCGATGCCCTTTGCTCTTAGTAGCTCCGGTGTTGTGAGTTAAGAGCGACATGGCCATGTCCTCTCAGCCTTCGTCCACCGCCATGCCTTACTGAACCCCGTCGGGTGAACCCGTCGCTGGAGTGGTGAGCCCTCTCATGGCTCACCGTGTCCGACCGTTGGGCTGTCCAGCGATCCGTGGATGTGCTGAGCTGTTGGTCGATCGCTGGAGGTTCGATGCTGAATCCGAACACAGGCACCGGGAAAGCTGCACTAGCTGCTTTGAAAGGGGGCAGCTCCGCAACTGACCAGGTCTGGGTGGCAGCGGAGACGGGACGTGTTTGCTACACTGAAGCGGACCTTCAGAAGATGAAGGCGGGTCTGATCCAGCGATGATACTCGCCACCGCGTGAGCCTGAAGAATGGCGGTTGGTATGGGCTCAGCCTGAGGAGCTGCCCACCCTGTGAGGGGGGCAAGAAGTTTCATCATTCACTTGGCCCAAGGTTGGCAGGGTCCAAAGACAGAACCATGCCAACTTGAATGGTTTTTGCATTTACTGTGTCGTTGCTGGATACTATTGTTTTTTGATGTTTCTTGTGAAGCATTTTCGATGTATCCTTGGCTACCACTGTGTCATAGAGTGTCCGGTGGTGAATTGAACATGGGACAACTTGGATCGTGTCACACCTCATTGGGGCAGGCCCAAACATGTCGCTGGGGTCGGAGCAGTGACCAGACAGGTTGGGTTTGACGAGTCACCAAAATGACTTTCCACGAAAGGTGTCATACCTTTGACCGAAGAAACTCGCTTCATACCCGACCTCAAGGACCCCAAAGCGCTCAAACCGCTGCTGCCGTTCTTGGCAGATGGAACCCTCATGGCGGGGGTGCCAGACCACCGGGTGCCAGACCCGGTGCCAGCGGCTTGGTCCCGGTCCCAGCCCCCCCTGACTGCCAGCACTCGCCAGCGGATCACTCGAGGGATCGGGTCAGGTGAGGGATCCGGACTCCAAGACCTGGGAGGCGAGCGGGGGGTAGAAGCAGCAGCGAGGGGTGAAGCAGGGTCGTCGCCGCGACGCGTCGTAGGCGGTTCGGTGTGTGTGTGTGTTTTTTTTTTTTTCGGCGTGTGCATTTTGTTTGGGAGCAGGGTGAATCGGTCATGCATGTTGCTTTGACTTTCAAGCTATTCGAGGTCTGGGACCGCTAGCGAATCGGCCGTGAAATTCGGGAATGGAAGAATCGCCACTAGCCACTGGATATTTTGGCCAAATGACACATCTGAACTTGGAGTCGCTGGAGTAGACTTAGCATGAGTGCGACATGTAAGGGGCAACGGGACTCAACCTGCCGGCCCATGCATCGTCTTGGGTTGTTGAGCATCGTCGTGTTGCTGACTGCAGAGCCCAGCAGATTGCAGGAGAAAACGGTTGCCTACCTGATGGAGATGCAGAAAAAGAAGGATGTAGCGATCGCTCGGAAGGTGCCCAGAGCCGGGGTGATAGAGCTGGAGCTGTTGGGACACGTTGGGCCTTCTTGGGAGATGAACATCCCTTTGCAATTTAGGTTGGTGTTCACACGTGTTCACCAGGTCATGTAGATTGTTGATGCCACAGATCCACAGCCATCTTGGGATCAAATGTTTGACAAAGGCTGACTTCGTGAGTTTTCTGAGAGCTTCCACTGAGTCGTCCTTTTTCCGCATGACTTCGTGCAGTGCTTTCTTTCAACGGCTCTGAGACGATGTGCTCTTGGTACTGCGAAGACTTTTCTACATAGGCAGTGCAGGAGGCTACGTGCTTCATCCGCCACAGGGGTGGCGGATGTGTGCAGGAGAAGTTCTTCTCCTCTGTGGATCAGAGAAAGCTAGAGCTCATGATCTCCGTGCGGCTCCTCAGTGTGGGTCCAGGGTCCAGCTGCTCCACGTAGGGTCGGGAGTGCTTGATTCTGTCTTCCCCAAGCTGCTTGATTGAGACATCGAAGGCAGGGACTTCTCCACATTTATCTATATAATATGTCATCTGTTGATTTCTACTGCAATGAAGGAACCGTGATTGGGGTGCTGCTTCCTCGGAGATTCTCTCTCCATGATACGGATTTTTAGGCGAAGTCTCTTGGCAAGACGAGATCAGCGAAAGCCCTGCACTTCACTCGGGAGAAAGGGACCATTGAAGCAGCAGAGGCAGTCTGCGCGGCTCGCAGGGCAGCTTGAGCGAATCTTTTGCAAAGCCTGCTTAAGGGTCTACACCGTAGTGGGTTTGAGATTTAATCAATTTCAGGTTCTGGTGAGAATGGCCAAAGAGCTAGCAGATTTTGGATGGATTTTGTGGTTTTGTCACAGATTGGCCTCGGTCTTTTCTACAACGAGCTCAAGCCAGCTCCATGCTTTTGACTCTTGACTGTTGCTTCAACTTATCAGCAGTGGCTGCAGGTCTAGGGCAAGTTCAAGATGTAGATCTTTCCTGGGCGTTGAAGCATGATCAAAGCATGATCAGTGATCAGCCATTTCAGTGCAGCTCACGAAGATAGCAAGAAGTCGAGTATCAGGAGGCTTTTCTTGGCTGTCATGGTTTCGATGTCATAAGCCACAGTAGTCTTCTGGCACAGAAGCCTCTAACCTGAAGTGATGCACCGTTCACATGTGATGAAGTGAACTCCACAACAAAAGTGAGGGGTTTTCTCGAAAACCAACGCCCTCTAGCACTGCCTGGCTCGCCGTGCTAGGCTTGGCTGGAAGAAAATCAGAGCTTGCCAGATCTCGAGCCTTGGACTGGAGAACTCGTGCTAGGCTTTGTCGGTGCTCAGTTTGATTCTTTCAAGTGCGAGAAAACCTTCTTTGAGGGAACGTCCTGCGCGCTGCCATCGCAGCGTCTGGCGGCCATCCGAATACCCTCTCCGTCCGCGAGACCGACTGGCTGCATGATCGAGACAAAGAAAAGAACGAGACGAGTTCACGCAGCATGAGATGTCTCGTTCGACCCCTTGACATGTCACCCCCTTTCCAGGGCTCCCAATAATATCCAACAATGCCGCAATGCCTGCAAATAAAAACAAATAAATATCAATTTGGACCACCAAAAGAATGTGCAATTTCAAGAGGGTCGAAGAATAGAGTGAATACTGTATATATATATATACATGTACGTATGCACGCATATACAACTACTATTTGGACCCCTTAAACACAATTATTTTGAAGGGATTGGCAAAATAGACTACGAGTCGAAAAACAAAGTGACTATGTACAGTAAACTATGCAACTGCAACTAAGCTGGATTATATTAAGACATAGACTGTTGAGAGGAGTCGCTTTTTTTGCCTTTCATAGATGTGGTGATGCAAGTGATACGATACTGAAAGAAATAGTCAGATACATGATATGTCAAAACCATTTGTTTTTCAACATTTTCTTCCACTTTTTTTTGTCTCCCAGGCACATCTCGTGATGCATGTTCGTGCCCAAAACGAAAGTCCACCCCAAGCTAAAGCTGTATAGCGATGAATGCGCTCTAATGGTGATACGCCTCTCAGCACCTGCAGCGCGGGCGGATTTATGGGTTTTGGAAGAGTGAGACGCCAGGTGACCCAAGGGGGGTTGAGTGAAATTCTTGTGTTTTCTCTTGTGTCTTCCAAGGGCTTTTTTCAACACACGGACATCTCCAGAAGTGGAGATGTACTTGCTAGACATTAGCGTGGACACAGATGGAGCTTTGATGGTTTCTGCAGAATGACGCATTTTGAAGTTTGGATGTGTCCTCTTGCAACTGACGGGTCAAAGTGTCGGCGTTGCCCCAGCAAGGATAAGCTCACAGACGCTTTTGTGGAGGAAGCTCTGGCAAGTCTAGGCGGGAAGAAACGCACCTCCAAAGGAAGGGACACCAGCAGCCGTGACAAGAGGAAAACCAGTTCTGCTTCGGGTGCACGTAATCCGCCAGCCTCAAGGGGTATGACCAGGCATCCTTGATACTGCCTCTCGGGAAGGACCCGCAGGAAACAAAGCATCGTTCACTTGTGGTTCTCTTTTTTGCAATGCTTCGTCCGGGCTGCAGGTGATGTAGTCCGAAGCTTAGGTACTGTAGTTATGCTGTCGTTGAAACTGACTTAGTCAGTCTGTCAAGATTCAAGATACATGAACCCAATTTTGCAGTGCCCTTCAAAATTCAGGACTCACATTTTCCTTGGCTTGTTTTGCCGTACCTGAAAAATATGCGTTGCCCAATGCCAGACAGATCGTTCGATCCGGGAGTTTTCCACTCGATTCTTTTGCTTCCAAGGAGATGCCAGATGCCCATGCCGATGTGGACATGACACCAATCGATGATCGCAAGATCGGCGATCCCAATCCACCCGAGATCAAGGCGAAGCGCGGGGAAATAGGAGGGAAACCGAATCCCACATGCGCTCTTCATTGGCAGCCCGAGGTGTGCACTGCGTGCCGTGGACGGCAAAAACACCTACTTGCCGTGGCCACAACCAATGGGCAAGTTCCCCCAGCTTTTGTGGCAGGAGAAGATCAACCAGGATTTGCTCAAGCAGGTCATGGAGATGGGCTTTTCCGAAGTCCGCGCGGAGAAGGCCGGACGATTCGCCCGAAAAAAGAAGGCGCGCCACACGCATCGTCCCTGGTTTTTCTTTTGGTATTGGGGGCTGCAGTTGCATGATTGAGGTAAACTTCTTCTTCTTCTTCTTCTTTCTATTGTGCGCCCAAAAAGAATACAGGATGGAAGCTAGGGTTGTGAATGGCTTTGGCTGGATGTAGATTTTAGACGTCAGCAACCAGTTTGCCAAGCTTTAGGCTCTCTACAAGACTGACAATGCGAGCTTGGAGTACGCTGTGCCACGTTTTGTATTGGCTTCACTGAGTGTGGAGGTTCTGGAGAAGCTTCATCGCTATACAGACGTATCAGTGTGATTATCAGTGGACATATCCATCTCAACCATGAACAATCAAAAGGATTTTTAGTTGTTCCCAAACAAGCAGAAACGGCTGGCTATATTCTTAGCATTTCTTAGCGAGGCTGCATGGGTTGAGGGCTCCTCCCCCAGAACCATTCCTCAAGAATGTCAAGTATTTGCACCAAAAAGAGAATTTCAGAAAAGAAAGACCCCCATGTCGTACCACATTCCGCCTGGCATACATACTTGTTTATTCAAGGATCTTTTCTCCTGGCACTGACACAGACATGTCAGTGTCGTGCGGCCTTTCGCACGCATGGCCAAGCTGAACAGATGGCCCAGCTTGGTGGCCGACGTGGCCAAGGTCAACTGGCTCGCTGAACACGCCGAAGATGCCGACATTGACCTGCCCCTGCTGAAGCCGCCTCCTCCAGCCCCTGTGAAGCCCAAGATGAGTGTCTCAGCCGCCACATGTCCCATGCTTCTTGAAGCATGTAATTGGATTTCTCAAGAAGAACTCCCAATTTGTGAGCTCCTTCTCTACCTTTTCAATCCTTTCTACTTTCTTTCCAGAGGTAGCTGTCGGACCTCGGATTTTGAGAGAAGCTTCATGGACATCATGTTTTTGCACTTCAAGAAAGGCTCAACAAATCATCCATGTCGATTCTCCCCTCTGATCAGCTTCAAACATGTTTCGGAAGTCCGTTTGCCCCAATAAGGCAAAGAGGAGGCGGAAGCCAAGGCACTGGAACTGCAGAAGCGGCTTAGAGAAAAAAGAGACCCTTGACCGCAGAAGGCCAAGATTTCATCAGATTTGACAGGCCTTGCAGTCCAAGATGTTGAGCTTGGAGCGACAGTGGTGGGAGGTTGAGCTAGGCCCCGTTAGACACCACACCCTTTGATTCAATACCGAATTGGATCGTCGAAATGATTGCCGGAACTTCCAGTACTGCGGCACGTGTGCTCAAAAATCAGCGCCAACTCTTGGATCCGACCCTTCAAAATGGCTGAAGGGCTGGAAGACTCGTGAACTTGAAGGGCTGGCGAAAAAAGAAAAGCTGATGTGTCGGAAGGAGCGATTGACAAACCCATGTTCCCCTCAAAACAGGCAGAGAGCCGAACTTGGAGGTCTCGGAAGTTGGCCAGTTCCACTTGCTAGAACTGCTAGAGCTGCGCCCAAAGAGGTCATCGACTTTGAGATACACTTGGCATCTGACTTGCCAGAGCTTGCAAGCGCAATCTGTCCTTCGTATTCTCAAAGTTTTTTAGGGGACCTCATGAACTCTTCCGATGGCCGCAAGAAATGGAAAGGGACTTAGGGACTTTATTGAGCTTGAAACACATCCTTCTGCGATGCGCTGCAAGTCACTGCCGCCCCTTTAGTCTACACCTGCGACAAGCGGGCATGCGGCATGATGTCCGATCAAGTACAGTAACTTGAGGAAACACCCAGTCAATTGAATAAAATGAATGGACATATGCCAGTCACCAGTCGGTGATGATATACAAAGCTGAGGCAGCAGAAGAGAAGGAGAAGGAGAAAGAGAAGGAGAACATTAGCCGCTATAGCCTATAGCCAATTGATTGCTGCACTTCATCGCTACCACTTGAAAGGAGGTGCTTTCTGCCAAGATGCGCCTGCCCGTTCCATTGTTTCTTTGACGATTCTGTGACTTTGCAATTTTGTGCCGAAAACAGTGCTGGGGTTGGGACATGTTGTGGCCTCTACCCACGTCTATCCACGTTTGACCGTGTTCCATTTGCAGGAGGCACAGAGAAAGGAATCTACAAAGCTAATGGCCGAAGCCCAGGAAAGGGCGAAGGAAGAGGCAGCGGGGCAGAGCTGGGCAGAGGGCCGAGCATGGTTTGACAGTCGCCCAGGGTACTAACAGGTCCTGATAGCATGTTTGAATCGAGTTAATTACACAATCCGGTCACGATCCAAACTATATGTGTCAGCGTAACTGACACTGGAGCGCAACCCGGAGCCCTAAAACCTGGTAGCTTGACCTCCTCAGTAGTCTATTCTGTTCATTTTCAGTCACTCAGGGTCCGTTCAGGTCCGTTCTGACCGACTGCCATATGTGTTGATTGATTTATGACCCCCCCGGACTTTACATCCTCTTCACATGTGTTTTGTTCGTCGAAAGTCTCTTGTGGCACAGATTCGCACAACACATGTCACTTGAGCTGAGCCGACGCTTGATGCAAGGCTGAGTGCGACATTACATATCTATCAAGAGTCTACATGATAGCTTGCGGTCACTGACCCCAGAAAGCTCGAAGTCAATGCTAAAGGATTGAGTCTATAATGAACTTCCAAAAGATATAAATATGGAACGGTCCTTCGCAAGTTTCGCATCAAAACACGGTCCCCTTCGTTCTCGTCTTTGACCCCAAAGAGACGACTCGCTCGGTCGCCACACAGACCGACCGACTCGCCGCGGGAGACCGACTCACCCGCCCGACGAGATGGATTGCCAGGATCGCCGAAGGGCGATTGAGCAGCAGATGCGCGAGCGCCTCGGATGTCCGGGCAGGACTTGGAACTCGGGGTAACCCAGTTTGGGGAGGTGTTGGAGGGCCTTGATGGGGGGGATGATGTGGGGTGGAAGGGGATGGAAGATTGCGAAGAGTGTATCATCTAAGATCTTCATGTTTTTTCATGTATTTTCATGTAATATCTTCATGCTACGAAGATGATGGCTGGTTTCACTTTGATTGACGCAGCTGCCCATGCAAAGACGGATTTCCCAAGGAAAGAGGAGCATGACAGGCATCGAGCTGAGCTGAAAGAACGCTTGCGTCAGGCAGGGTTGCGTACCCACCAGGTTAATCAAGTAGGCATGGGCACTGCTGGTGCACAAAAGATCTAGTTGACATGCATCGGTAGCATATACTTACCCTTACCCTGGAATCCATAAACAGCAATACTAAGATATACTAAGTATCTGCATGTTGCTCTTGTGCATTTTCCAAACATCAGATCCTTGCATGTCGTCGATTGCTCCAAACATGTCGATTTTGACATCTTCGCCACCCTGTCCGCCGACACGGACAGTCCTCAGGACTACATCGATCGCTTCGGCTGTGAGCCGCCCGAGGAAAAGGACCGGAAAAGAGGTTCCATCATGCTCCATGATGTTCCATATGGATAGTTTTTTTGGTTTAAACGCCCGCCCCTACTTGATCAAGTAAGGGAGTAAGCTACGAGCTACTTAGTGCTACTAGTATGGATGCAGGACAGCTCACGGTTCTTCAAGGAAGCTCCCCCCGCCTGAAGAAGCGCTCACACTAATCATTTGGTTCCTAGATTTTCAGAGAAACTTAACCTGTGGGATTGAAGATGTTCTTCCCAATTCGAAGGTCGTATGTGATGTTGCGTCGAAGCTGCGACATCGATGAAGTCTTTTTTTAATTATATGTATTTTATTTTTATTTTTTGCTTCGTCAGGAGGAGGAGTGCGTGAAGGAAAAGACCAGTAAGGAGACAGCAAGACCGTTCGTTGTGCATCTGGTGAAAGCAAAAGGGAACTCGGTGGTTTTAAGGATGAAAACACATGAACACCCGTCAGTCATCAGGATTTCTCGTGATCGACCTACCAGTTTTTCATACCACAGGTCAGAGTTCCTTTTGTTTGTTTTGGTGTTCTGTTTGATGTTCAGTATCATCAAAGGAGGAAGCACGACGGATGTTTGGCCTCCCCGCCTCCATGGCGTGGTGACTTGGGGTCTGCATGTCGTCCTGTCCGGGATCAGCATTAGGTTCGGTGCATGCACCAAGCAGCACCATGTTCCTTTCGAGGCCCAAAACGGAAGTCTTAAAGGCCAGGGCCGTGCTCTTTGCATCTCCTTAGCTGTCCTTGCCGTCCTTGACTTCTCAAGAAGGGTCGCGTGAGACGGTGAGAGATCTTGAGGGACTTCCTTTGGAAGATAGACTTAGGGTTCCCTCTGAAGGAGACGGGAGTTGCTTGCACAACCCCCACACGATTGTTTTGGCGAGCCATTTTTCAAGAAAACCCACATGATCTGAAGGGATTGGTCTAGTTGTGCGATTCTACTGAAAGAACCGAAAGAGCCAAAACTGACGGAAGGAAGCGGGAGATGCAGAAGTCACTCCCCTTCTCCTCTCTTGTGCTTCAAATCGTAACCTGACTAATTCTGTTGGCGAAAACGAAACGCAAGTTGTGGTACAAATCAAGTCGGCCGTGGCCGTGATATACCCCCCAGTGGGCCACCTCAGCGCTGCAACCCAGTGGTCTTACTGGACAGTTCTTCGAGGGCCAGTGGCTCTCGTCTCCGGTCAATCTCTGCAGCGGTGGATTGGCTGCGCGACCGGACCGTGCCGGATCGTGCCGGACCGTGCCCGCTGCGACGGCCTGTGCCCCGGGCTGCCCGAGAGATTCCCGGGCGAAATTCGTTGCTGTTGAATGGGCAATGAGATGCCATGAGATGGGCCATGATGATTTGACAACCCAGAAAGTAGCTGCACACGTGACTCACATTGAACCGATGGCCATGCCGCGTGGTTGCTTTTCCTAGCAACACCTTGTTCCGCAAAACCGCCACCTTGTTCCGCTCTGCCGAGTTCCCTGCTCGCAGGAGCAGCTCGCGTTCCACCTGAATAAACTGAAAAAGACATACAAGGACCGTCCGCACTTGGTGAGTCCAAGGAAACGGTCCACTCGTTCTGAGTTGCGCTCGTTATGATGCTAAGCTAAGGACACGAATTGAAAAGCATACGGCCGTACTTAGCTGTTGTTGGTGTTTCTGGAGGCGTTCTGGTGTTGGCGGTTTTGGTGCTGTTTGTACCGAACATGACTTTATTGGTGGTGCACTTGAACACCAAGTAAAGCCAAGGTTCGGAACCGGTGAGATGAAACATGTCTCTCAAATGAACAAAGATCACTGTATCCCTGTGAAAAGTCCTTTTGTGATGAATATACACATTTTATGTAAACAGCCTGCCAAGGACCTACCCAAAGCGCTTCTGCAGTGGCGTCAATGAAACCATATCATGTATGATTCTGTATGATATTTAACTATATGATACATACTAGTAATCAATTGTTTTCAACAACATGGCTTGAAAGCGCCTTCAAACGACATGCAGGACTCCAATGCAGAAGGCCTGAAAACCTGCCTTAACACGTTGAAGATCTACATCAAGAACTTGCATGAGAACCCGCTAGACACTTCTCAGCAGAATTTCAGAGAGTCAGGTTTCTGTGGTCAGTTTTCTTACTACCATCCTTTGCATGCATTTTTGGGTCATCTACTGTAACTTAGCTAGACCTGTCATGCACGATAATCAGACCTGTCCAGAATCAGCAGGCCAGCAAACTTTCTCACAGACTAGCTAGAGCCGGTGTGCTTGCGCCGGGTAAATGGACGCCCTCTCCCTGGAAACTGGCCAGCTGCAACAGTTTCGTCCTTACCACTTCGAATGCTTCTTCCAGACCATCATGGCAGGACCCAGGACCTTTGGAGGAACTCGACCCCAAGTCATTGCAGCGCAGTGGGGGAGATATCTATAATCTGATCAAGATCAACCTGCTTGGACGGCTTAACATGGAACCGTTTTAAGCATCAGGCATCCCCTGGAAAGAATGTTTCTTCCTTTGGGTGGGCTGTCCCATATGCAGGAATCAACACTTGTTTGGGGATGTGGACATCCTGTGTCAGCTTGCGTTTGCCAAGGCTTTTGTGACATACTCACGAGGTAACAGCGTGTGTTTTCCATGGCCAATTAAGGAGGTAAAGTTCAAGAAGCTGAAGTTGGACAACAAGGCCAGAAGCTTCGAGTAAGAGAGGAGAGAGACGATCAACGAAGCTTCGTGCATCCGTTCAATTCCCTTCATTCTTTAGGGAAAAGGGTGCAGATGTGAATTGCTGTGGTCTCTGCCACAAACCCCGGAGCCCCCAAACCTGCTACTTTGACTTCCCTCGAAGTCTATTCTGTTCATTTTTGGGGATCCACCAAGGTCCCTTCGGTTTTCACCCACAGAGAGCCTCCCTCAACCAGGGAGCTGATTAGGATTTGAAACGTCTCTTTTCCGCCCACGGAGTGCCCCTGGTTTTCGACAAAATGTGACAAATACGTTTCACGTAGACTCTTGATGAATCACCCCGCCCAATTGGATTTGAAACACCTCTTTACATGGGGGAGTCAAAGCATCAAGCAGCATACGTTATGGCCATTCTCTCCTGGTCCGAGGCATTCCAGTCCAGAATAGTTCCCTACGATGGAGCGCTGGCCACTTGGCTGAAGCTTCGCCAGGGCGGTCCGACCTCAGACCGATTCGCCAGCGGCGAAGCTAGAGTTTGTTGGGCCAAAAAGCACGTTCGACCAATTCCTGATGAATACGACATGACGCAGAACTTGCCAGGCTAGAAGTTTGATGTAGACTGATATGCTTTCGCAGATACTCATTCTAGTACATCTGCCTTTGAGCCAAAGGATGATCACGAGGATCCATTTGGTACAAGCATTCAACTGCTGGTGACAGCAACGAGTGCTTTTATTTGATTTTGCACCTTGCTACTAGTAGCTATTGTTCCTAGTAGTAATGCCAGGAGCTACTAGTAGCGTCCTTCTTACTAGTAGTAAGGCACCTTGCTACTGGTAGCGTCCTTGCTACTAATTCTTGTACTGTTGTACGGATTTCTTGCGTACTGGACTGGCTGTGTTTTGACGGGTCTTGGTTGTGATGCAGGATGTGTTGGATGTGTTGGGCTTTGAGAAGAAGGAGGACAGACAGCTGATGCCTTGCGGTCTAAAGATGCTCATAGCATTGTGACCTGCAGCTACTCTTAAAGCGAACGCAACAGGGCAGACACATGTCTTTGTCTTCGTCTGGCTTACCACCTCTCTTGTGCTTAAAGACAGCCAAATCGTCGTGGATCTCCACACAGTTGCCCAGTTGAAGCTGTGGCATGTGGACTTACACTGTTTCGTGCTTGAATCTTGAAACATGCCATGAGCAAAGAGGACTGCCTGGAGCAAAGAAAATCAACTCCAGATGGCTTCCTTTGTGGTGGCCCGTCCGTCAGACAGTCCGAGACGGCTTGGCTGTTGGGTTCACCTGGGGGGGCGAACTGAAGGAATCCTGTTGGGAGAGAGAGCCAGGTAGGAGCATATATATATAATATACACACATATATGTATATATTAAAGTATATATATATATAATATAGTACATAGATGGCATGACCTGACTGAAGACCATGGAATATGGTGTTTGTACCAATTGGCGGTCTCTTTGTACCAATGGTGGTCATAACGCATGTATGAACTCACTGGTATCGACTTTGGCAATGTTTATTCAGTTTCCCAAAAAAATCTAGGAACCAAATGATTAGTGATCAGTGCGTGCTTTCCTGCGTCCACAAGTAGTAGCTTAAGTAGCTAGTAACTTACTGCCTTGCTCAATTAAGTAGGCCTACTCAATTAAGTAGGAGCTTGCAAAAAAAACATCCAACTCTGAACTTCTGACCCCATGACCATGGCGACGCTGGTCGGGCGCAGATGTACGTGTCTTTTTGTGGGCATTGGAGGTTGGGCATTGGAGGTGCCAAATGGGTCAGGCTCATGGTGGCATAGCGGGTCATGGGAGTGCCATAATTCATCAAAATCAGGGAAGTGCCACCTGAGTGGCCCATGAAGCCGTTCAAGAACTGATTCTGTTCGTGAACTGATCCATTCGTGTGAGACTGCTGAAGGCTTTTGATTTCTGTTTGCAGGTTCCACGGTGAATGGAGTAAGGACCCTTCTGAATGATTCAGACTGCTCCATGTTGCTGAAAGCAACTTGAGGTTTTGTAGTGATGTTCAAAGCGCAGATTCAGATGCCAGCAGTCGTGAACTGGTGAAAGGTCATACTCTTCTAGGGTCAAAACATGGGCACTATCCCTCGTGTAACCCACATTGCCACATGCAACTATATAATCTATCACTTTTCTCGGGAGCTCCGGAAGGGGAACAGAAACCTTATGAAACCTTCGAACACCGACGCCGTACTCGTTTCGTTCGACCGTTTCGAGGGTCCCTTTCGGTCGAAACAACCCATCGTGCGCCTTCGACGTCGAGCGAGTCCGCAGGTCAAGCCATCAAGTTCATCGACTTGATGTTGGGTCAGATCTGATGCGCAGAAGTCGCGCAGTGACCCGCCCGGGCCCCACCTGTTGAGCTCCACCGGTTCCCATCGTTTCTTTGTTTTGGGATCGGTTTCCACCAGGAAAAGTCAATTTCACACGGGAAAAACTTATTTTTGTCCTGAAAAGTTTCATTGACCACGAAGAGGAGAATGTGAGACCCTGGAAACGTTCATTTCATGCTCAGGACTTTCGTACGTCTGTGCTTCAAAAACACAAGGGGATAACTTGCGCGGAATCCAAAGAAACCTGGTGAATAGACGACATGTATGATATTACTGTACATATTGTATACAACAAGGGCCCACCACGACGAAGTGAACATTTCAATGGTTTTGTGGTGACAGAAATGAGCCCCTTCTGTGCACATGGCATTTCTTATTTTTCGGAAAGCATGGCTTGTCCGCAGTTGCGTTGCATATTGCCATGCCTTTGCGCTTGCTGGCTCGCTGTAGCAGCCTCAACAAATTGTCCCCCTTATCTGTGCACGGGCTTTCTGTACTGCAGCGGTTTGGAGCGGACTGTATCTAGCAAGTGACTCTGCGGCACCCAAAAACAAGGCTGTAAAACCATGCAAAAAGAAGCTTCGGCGTGGAGGGCCCTCATATCGTAGGTTCCGCGGGGTGAGAGAAGGGAGTGATGTGCGACTTATAACTCCTTTTCCAAGCAGTGCGTTGCAACCCTTAGAAGCCAGCACTTACGGAATAAATGGACTCTTTAGTCGAACTACCAAAGCTGGATTAATGGACTCTTTAGCCGCCCGTTTTCGGGCGGTCCCTTCTTCCGAAAGCTACCGCCCCGTCAGATTTTGGCCCCCAGTTTTAGACCATTCATCTGCGCAATTACAACGGCAGAGTTGGACCACCATGGGATCTGGAATTATGTGGGCTTCTTCGGGCAACGCAGTGGCAACATGTTTGAGTCGAACACACAAACACACACACCCTCAGTATATATATATATATATACTCGACAATCCTAAATCCTACAAGAAACTCCAGAAACCACACCACAGCTATTGAACCGTACACCGACGAGAGCCATGAACTTCCCCCCGTTTTTCAAGGGAGGTAGCTCAGGTCCAGAACTTCGGCAGAGTTCACCGATGGTACATTGATTCAAGTGTGCGATCGCGTGGAAACCATCGACGAATCCATCCCAAAGATGCCTTGTTAGACTACCCTCACCGCACTTGACCAACATGACCATTGACGCTGGAACGGTGGCCTCATTTGTGCATATCATGGAGCTGCGGATGGCTCCCGACAAGTTTCACCCACGGCGCACAATCCAGTGTGGCTGCGTTTGACTGTTCGTGGGCATGACATTCAGGAGACGAAAGCCGTCTAAGACTAGCAGTGGCAGAGGGAACCTGAGCACTTTCTCAGAAACTCAGCCTTCAAGCATCGTGCGGGTAGCAATAGGGCTGGGGCACAGAATCTTCTTCGCGCTATGCGGCTCAGGTCGAACAACCGACCCAGACCATACAAAGCCGCAACATCGATAAACATTGCTGGTCGACGTTCGCCCGTTCTCTTCGGGGTGTAGTTGGTGTGTTCAGACGGCCAGGTCAACAACTGGTTTGTGTTCTTAGCAGTTTCTTAGTTCTCAAAACTGTGGCGATTCTGAGCCCCTGGCGTAAATACCAGCAACAGGTCGGATGGACAAAAAAGCGATTGAGATGGGTAGAAGTAGACAGTGAGAAGAGGTTTTGAGCAAGCAACATCTTCTGTCGGCTGTTCAAGAGATGGTGTTTTGCCGTTTCTACAAGTGTGCTCAACACGTTGGTTGATTGATTGATGGATTGGTTGACGGATTGATGGACGGACTGAGTGATACTGATTGACTGACTGATTGACCGGTTGATTGCTTGTTTGCTGGCTTGGCTTGGCCTGGGCTGGCCTTGCTTTGCCTTGCCTTCTTGGTTGCTTGGTTGCTTGCTTGCTTGGTTGCTTGCTTGCTTGCTTGCTTGCTTGCTTGCTTGGGATTCTCGGTC